CTAAAGTCAAAACAGAAATAGATATGAACAATTTTTCATTGGCATGAAGCATTCAGTTTTGCATATGAAAGTAAAAGAAGATTATATAAGAATTATTAAACACTTTATCATTTCGTTTGATTTTATATTTTTTTTACTTTAACTTGAAAGTTTATAACACTTCACCTAATGCGTGAACAAATGATCAAGACTTGCGATGCTCGTTTAAGTGAACTACCAGAGGGGTCAGAACTTGACTCTGATGCAGAGAAAGAAATTTACTCCCAAATTTTGTCAAGTGAGAGGTATGAAAAATATGGTTTCAAGCGTGGCATAGCACCTGTACTAAGACAAGCGTCACAAGGTCGCAAATCTAAAGGGTCAGGATATGAAAGGCTTCAAAATGAAGTTCAAGAACACAAACGTCGTATGTCGGACATGGAAATTCTAATGAAGCAACAACATGAGCATATTCAAAAGCTACTTCAGCAGATAAATCCGACATCAGATCATCCTAGACATTCTGTCTTAAGAAGAGAAGATTCTCCGCCACCGCCACCATCGGCCTCAGTTTGTTAGATCGTTTAATTCTTGTAATACTAAGACTTTACTAGTACAACATTTGCATAATTGTTTGAGTTTGCTTAAGTATGACTATTTTAGTATTTTGTTTGGATTCTAATATGTATTGAAATATTTAGAGATTTTTAAATTAATATTTGGTATTTTATTTATATATATTTTTTGAAAAAAATACAGGTATATAAATCTATCTCAGTTTTGGTGACCAAAAAATTTTGGCAGCAACAAATTAATTATTTGGTGGTTAATTATTTCAAATACCTTTCACTATCAAAATTTTGGTACCTGAATCTTGTACTTTTTGTTACCAAATACATTTTGCTACGAAAAATTTGACCCCTAAATCTCATATTTTTCGCTACCAAATACCTTTTGCTACCGAATATTTGGTCACCAAATCTCATACATTTCGCTACCAAATACAATTTGATACTAAATATTTGGTCCCTAAATCTCATGACTTTTACTACTAAATACCTTTTGTTACTAAATATTTGGTGATTGAATCGCGTACATTTTGCTACCGAATATATTTTGCTACCAAAATTTTAGTGTCCTAAATCTCACACTTTTTGCTACCAAAACCTTTTGCTACCGAAATTTTCGGTCACCGAATATCATACATTTCGCTACCAAATACATTTTGTTACCAAAAAATTTTTGGGTTACTACAAACATTTTGCTAACTAATACTTTTTGTTACGCACTTTTTGCTACTAAATTTTTTTTAATAACAAAAACATTTTGCTATCAAGTCTTTTAATTACCAAATTTTTAGTAACAAAAAATTCAAATTCATCAATATATATGTATATATATAGACGCACACGCATTTTAGCACTTGAAATGTAAATGTATATAGAGACTTTGGGTCTCTCGCAGCCTGATTGGATTAAATAGGAGCACTGTTAGATATAGGATAAAAAGTAGCAGGGTCCACAGTACTAACATGCATAGAAAATTTAAAGCTTTGCATTACATTAATCATCTTTTTCTCAATTACATTATCTTTCTGTTGAAAACTAAAGTTAAAACTGAATCCAGCTCATGAAAAACCAAATTAACAAAACTAAAAACTAGTTAGTGATCCACTTAAAGCTTCTATAAAGCGGCCTAACGATCATGTACAGATCATCTGTTTCTAATTAAGACGTTATTGTGGCATGATTAATTCATACGATAAATATGTGCAACTATTTTTTTTCTTGAAATTAAGGTGCATCTTCATGATTAAGCATAATTGTTTAGTACACCTAATCAATTTTAGGGAGTGTTCAGGGGGGGGCCAAAAAAAAAAAAGAAGAAAATCAACTTTAGAAAGTGGTATCTCTGACCCTGTCTCAATTGGTTCAAGCGAGGGCTGTTGACCATTAAACAGACACTCCACTTTGTGTAGTGGAAACCTCCCATGTTTTTTCATGCAATAGCGTGCATCATTGGTCGCTAGGCTTTACTTAAATATAAATAAAATAGCAATGAAAAAAAATAAATTTACTAATGCTAATAATTATCTCATGAGCTGTTAATCTGTGATTCAACCCCAATTCCCACAATCACCAATTCACCATCACATAATTATGTCATATATTAACATTTATAGACCTTACATACCCACGTATCAATTTGTCAAATTTTTTTTTTTTGAGCTTATATGAGTTTAAGGATTTAAACTATACAGATATTAAATGTGAAATTATCGCTAAATTATGTGCATGAACTACATAGTTTGTGATGTTAAACTACAGGTATAATTATGAATAGATTATTAACTATTTGATTGGTTTAGTTTTAAAGGATTTTTATGATTTTTCTCAGCTACAAACTAAAAGAGTTTGAAATAATTTGTCGTGTTATTTGATTATAACAATCTGACTACATAAATATAAACTAATTAAATATTGAAAACACAGATAATTAATGAGGTGTTAAAAATTAATTAAAGTACAACAACTAAAAGAACAGGATATAATGAGACAAAATATTTGATCTCAGAATAATTTTAAAAATCCAGTTAAACATTCATATTAAGAGGGTATTCTTCTAAACTCTTCCACAAAATCCTCCTCAACTTTATTAAGCCAAGTAAAGATCACGCGAGCATGTTAAATGCTTGTACCACCAATAGAGTGCGTGACATTATTCCAAATAAAAATTATGAAAATGATTTTGTGGAGCGATGAGGTGTCACCGACGCTCGAATAAAAGTGATGAGGTGGAGCCACTCCTCAATCATCAATATCCCCCACGTAGAAGGACTTTAAGATCAAGATGGACCCACAATTTATTTCCTAAGATGGATCAGGACCGTCCAATGTGGACAATTAAGCACTATCATGTGCAATAATCTGATTTTGCTCATTGGCTGTTGATGAAGAACTGGTCATCATCAATCGTAAGGCTGACGAGGTAAGGCCATTGGCTAATCTTTATCAATTAGCCAATTAGAGTTGAAGATGCCACAGGCTTGGCTGCAATTGATGGACCGGCTTGGGCCGTCGGCCCGAAAGCTAATGGCTCGTGATCGGCATGAAATTTCAATTGGAAAATGCTCAAAATTGGTATTTCCTAAGTTATAAGAATTATTAAATTTGGAGACATAAACACTTAAAAAAAAAAAAAGATTGAAGATAGAAGCACTAATTGTTGCTTCATATTAAGGCTTTGGAGACTCTTAAAGAAGATTATAAAAGTACGCTCTCAATATATACTCTACAATTCAGAACCATCAAAATATATTACAATTATGCTGTAAAAAATAAATTACTTTTGTTAAAAAAAACTCTATGAAAGATTTCTCCTGAGTTGTTATGTGATATCATTTTATTTTTTTTAAAAATATACTTTTTTGTTTTTGCTTATATTAACGGTTTTCTTATTTTATTTCTAGAAAGACCAAAAATGTTAACAAATAAAATCTAAGTTTCGATATTTTTTTTCTTTAGATAGTTTATTATCAGACAATTCCTTTATTTGAAAACTAAAATCTCAATGAAAGTCATGTCTCCTCTTATAAAACAAAGGTACTTTCTTAACATAAAAATGTTGGGCGTATTTGGAACTCGTTCTAAAATAAATTTATTTTTTTTGTATGAAAATAAAAATAAAAACGTTTTTAATCTCAGACAGAAATCATTTTTAAAAATGCATTTGGTAGTTTTATCAAGAGATTATTTTCAGTGTAAAAAAACCCATTAATGTCTATCTTTCTCTCTCTCTGCTCGAGAGAGGAGAAAACGAACAAAAAAAATAAAAAACGACTAAAAGTCATTTTTCATTTCTTTCTTATTTTACACTAAACCAAAAAAACGTTTTCATTTCTATTTTTTGTCTTTATTGCGCCAAATGCCGTTTTGAAATCGTTTTCATTTTTTCTTTCTCAAAAAATGTGAAAAATAAAAACGGGATCAATCCCAAACACAACAGTTGTTTTTTATAGTTCATTCTCCTTGATCATAATTAGAAAATAAAATCCAACATGATATATTAAATTTAAAAAAAAAAAATCTATGATTACTAACTAAACTGACTTATTAGATTTTTAAAGAAACGAAGACTTAAGCATGTTCTTTTAACAACTTGAATCACAACTCAAATTTTTTTTATTATAATATTTTTTCTTACAAAAATTTAAATTTATTTTTTCTATTGTAACGTTTTCTTTCACGTAAAATTTATTTTACAACTTAAGTTCTCAACTCGAGTTATGAAAAGAACGTGTGAACATTTAGGTCCCGTTCATTTCGCTGATTCGAGTTTTACTACAGTAAAAAACTCTCAGAAACAGTCACATCTAATTTTTTTACTATAACAAAAAACTATCACATAAAATTATATTTAAACTCAAATTAAAAATTCAAATCAACGAATTAAACTGACACTTACTCGATCGAATACAAATATCCAAACTGAGCTGGAATAATATCTAATACACCATTACTACTATTAGGATGGGGTAAGGACACAAACATAATCCACAACGATCCATACATAATCTACGGCTCGGAGTTATCCGGCTTGATGGAGTAGTACTCCACACTTCACATCACGTGTGACTGTGAGAAGCGGAGATCACATGTCAAGGACGTGAAAAAAACATTATCGTCAAACGAACGGTCTAGACTCGTCCCACGTGTCAACATCAAGCAATATAAAAACTACTGCCCCAAAGATATCGAATAATTATCCTACATTATAATCAGCACTTACTCACACCTACTTAGCACTATATCTATACTAGACTAGAAATAGTAGTAGTTCATCGGTCCATGTCCTCTCCATTATAGTACTCAAACAACTGCACATATATATAAATATATATATATATATATAGATAGATATAAAGATAGATACAAGTCCAACCATAATTCACTGTCACTAGAACAAGGCTGATAAATTTATCAACGTGAAGCGAGTTATAATAGTACTCAGTTGAAGATCATATGGCGGACTCGGACAACGACTCGGGGGGTCAGAACGCGAACTCGTCGGCGTCGTCACCGAGGGAGCAGGACAGGCTGGTGCCGGTAGCGGAACTGGGGAA